GGAGTGGCACTCTAGTAATTGCAAGACTGGGTATGATATGCAAAACTCTGCAGCTGACTCACTTTGGCATCAGATGTCAAGACGTGATAAAGCAGTCGCTACATTTCTGTTGTTTAACCTGAGCTGTTTATCACATGGGTCTCATCATTAGCTGAATTGCAGGATGTTATTTATGCTATCAAAACTCTCATCTGCATAAACTTCAAGGTGATAAAGTAATAACCAGTCCTTAAACTGTGTCACTGGTTGGTCTTGAATGCTTTCAATGTTCCGGGTCAGGATAGGTAGGATGAAGTCCTGATTCAAGCAAGACCAAGGCACATACCAATCTCCTCCTAAAGCAACAACCCCCTGGCACGCAAGCTAAAAAGTAGTTGTGATGTACTCTAGGGAGGTCCCCAGTCTGGACATACAGAGGGCAGGACTCTCCCAGGTGTAACCTGCTAGTCCAAAGCGTTCTTTTTTTTGTTCTTTTTTTCTCAGCAATGGAAACAACAAGGCTGGGCCAGAAGGGCTTTTAAACAGGGAGCCTGGCCCAGGCGAATGTTAGGGTGAAGTTATGGATTCCTGTGCTTGAACGGAGAATAAAGGAAAATGCAAGAGTGGGAGGAGAATTTTGAATACAATATTGTACAATGTTCACAGAAAAGTGGAGACTTGAGATATCGAGACTGGCAGCTTTTCAGTAGAAACTTAACACTGGTGTGAGCTGAATACATTAGGAATGAATTAACATGATTGCAGGTCTGCTTCATAAAGTGGCAGGAGACAGATGCCTGCACTGACAAGATACTATGCTGGTTATATAAATAAAGGCCTATCTTGCAGTCCTTGGTTATGAAATCCTTGCAAACCACATAGGAGGTGCATGGGGAACGAAAAGTGAGATCCGTTGACTGTGTCCGCTCTGTAAGTAATAAGTCATGCTGAAATCGCTCTGCTCATTGAAGTGCCAGTCAGCTCAGTGGAGCTGCCCTTCCAGCAGGCTGCAAAAAGCACAACCTATCTATCCATTACAGGTTCAGCCAGAATAGAAACTCCAGGCAAGATCTGCCTCTCCAGTTGCACTGCACAACTTCTGTTTGTTCTTCTGTTGGAATATTGCTATTGTGCTACACTTCTGTATGTGGGATGTGCACAGAATAGGCAACTGAAAGCTGCAGTGCAGAAAAAAAAGTCAGAATTTTTCTTTAATTTGCAGTTGTTGGTTGGTCCTGCACTCAGGACTTCTGCTTATCTAACGTGGTAGGATTTTCCTTGGCTCGTATTATGCCAAAAGAGGAAATAATCAAGTGGTTTAAGAGGGACACTATCCTCACTGTTATGCCAAATTTGCTCTGCTTTTTTTTAAATATAGAACAATATTTCTTAACTTCATTTAACGTTTATTCTCTTTCAGCAATTCTTTCCTAATAAAAATGGATGTGATACAACGGAAGTCTCTTACTGAACAGATTTGAAGGAGGCACTTCCTATTTCTCTGGACTGAGTCAGAGGGTTGATCTATGCTGAGAAGACGGGGCAGCAGTTACAGCCAGCAGCTACTCTGCAGCAGTTTTGGAGGCCAGCTGTGCACGCGTGCCATCCGCGGCGGCGCTGGGCCGCTGGCTCTGCTGTCAAGTGACTCAGCCCACTTTCAACCCCGGCGCACGCTTGAGCAGGCCCACACAGGGAGCCGGGGCAGCGCGCGGTGCCATCGCCCCCAGCCCACCGCTTGCTCGCTCTCCCTGCGCACGCTCCTGCAGGAAGCGTAGACGTTTCCCAGTGAAACAGTCCTACTGCAGTTTTCTCTCACGCGAGTGACTATTTGCAACAGTGGTCTGGTAACGAGTTGGTAAGCTGACATTTGAAGAAGTGTTTCCTAGACACCTAAATCATTTGCTCTTGGCAAGGCTAGTTTCTGAGTCGGCTCTTCCCTCCACTTAAGCACTAAGTAGCACGCAGTAAGTACGGAAGCACCGAGCAAAGCAGGGGACTGCTGCTGAGCTGTCAAGTAACACTGGCCCTTATCAGCCTCACTGGGGAAAGGATTCGTAACCCCAGCACTGAAACGTGTTAATGCATATCCGATGAACCATTCTTCTCGCTGACGAGATGCTAGATTACGATAATTTTTCAGCCATAATTTTGACACAGTATTCTGCTTACTAACTAACTGATCTATTTGATTTTGTCACTGAAGCAATCATAATATTGCAGGTTTCAGAATATGAAAGTTCCAAGTCATTTACGGTTATGCTGTGTCATATCATAGTGTAATAAAAATGCTCCGATTTTTGGTCTTATTGTAGTTCTTTTAACATCTTATAGATAAAATTGAAACTAAATTAAAACATTCTGAAACAAGACAAAATATCGTGGGTTTATGTTTGTTTTTTCTCATTTAGAATGGTTTTTTTTCCCCCAAAATTGCCTGAAGACTGGGAATTGCGGATTACCGTCAGAATACAGAAGATGCAAAAATTAAGGTTTCATCTACAGTGCCCAACAACCAGAAGTGAGGCAACTAGGGTAACTGCTTTAAGATTTAGATCATACATCCCCTTGAAGTAAAGGAAACAAGAAGGTAAGGAAAATTCTTACAAGGTCAAAGTTTATTTTAGGTGATTCACATCAAGATGTATTTCAGAAGATGGGGTCCATCTGAAAGAAAGTCAAATTGGCAAACAGTAAGCAGAAATGCTTAGGAAAGGTTGCATGGAAGATGATAGGAACTGAAGAGGCTGAGAGAAGTCATATAAACTTTTAAAAAGCCAAAAGCATTAAGCTTTCAAAGGAATTAATGGGTCTTCTGATTTACCAGAAACTGAGGGAAATAAGTACTTTGTACGTGCTTTCTCTGCATCAGCTGTTCTCACAGAGGATTCTGTTATCACTGGGGATATCTACCCTGAATCTTTTCTTTCCCAGTGATAAATATTGCAAGAGATCAGAAGAGCTGGGATATTAGCACAGGATAATAAATGAGAGTAGCAAGATACCAAATCCAGGTGCTTCGTAGAAGCTTCAGCTGAGCTGCTAAGAAAATAAGACACCTCTGTTCCAAATTGGTGACTATGCTGGAGGTCTGGAGAGCAGTAAATCATTTTACCTATCTTTTAAGGTGTCACTAGAGAAAATCAGAAACCCATAAACCTTACTTCTGTACCCAGCTAACATCTCCAAGCATAAAAACATTGTAATTCAAAATAGAAACTACAAGGAAAGCTCTTCATAAACAGAGTATCCTTCCTGCCTCTAATACGCAAGAGTGATCTGAATATGTAAAAGAGAAATGGGAGTCAGTCGGGCCGATGTATTCAGAACTGCAAGGTGCATCTTTGTAAACTGTAATATTTGCCTAGCTCAAGATAAACCCATTGTAAGAAATGGCATGAATTGACTCTCTTGCTGGTAGCCACAGGAAGAGGGCAAGGACTGAATAGTCAGACCGAGCTAGGTTGCCTCCCTTGGTATAATCCCCTTGGTCAAGGCTGAATCACAGTGACAAAACCTGCCTCGTACCTGAGTAGCAACTTCATGGGTTCATGTTCGCAGCCTACTGCCTTTCAGAAACACTGCCGCACCTCATACTTATCCAAAGCAAAATGCAAGCTCCTAGCTGACTCCAGTGTTTCTTTTTTCACATTCACCTCTACGAATAGAGAAGTCTATTCATAGAGGCACTTCATCAGCCCAGGTATAAGAAGTGCGAATGTTGCATTTAATGCAATGAAGTCAGTCATTCCAAATTTTGTTTGAAATAGTCTGTATCCTACAGAAAACTGTGATGTAGTACTAGGCAAAGCAAAATATGGCAATCAAAAACACAGTTTAATGGACAGTCTCTCTTGGGCCAAAAGACTGATGTTCTTTGTTAGGCTCTCTGCGAAAGAATTTATATTAGCGCATATTAGCATCCAGTTTCTTTATGTAGATACTGATGTACAAGAATACATCTCTAACCAACTGTGCTGGTTTTATTACTCTCAACACACACAGCTAAAGCTCTAAATGACTTATGTTTTTCTTCCTTGATTGTTCAACAGGATGTTATCTTCTTCTTCTCCATTATTCTCATCTCTAATTATTCTGCAGAATTTTAAAATGAACAAAATTGAGATCTGTATGATTCCAATATGCAGCCAGAAAAAGGGAGTTATAATTACATATTCCTTCAGTGTAGCAACTGCATCTTATTACATAAAGAGATGGGTAAACTCTGGAGTATGTTGCTATGGCAAGATTGGGACCAGAACAAATCGATTTTTATGAAATTTTGTCAGACTTACTAACAGGACTGGCATATGCAGCTTTGTGATGTTTTAAGTCCGATTCATTCAAAGGCAAGTCAAATATTTATTTAAAATTCTACAAGAAAAGTCACTTAGCAATTCCTTTTGTAGGAAGTAGATCTAAATCCCTCAGTAGATCTGAATATATATGGCTCACTGGTTACCTTTTAGGGAATCATAAGGCATCATCAGGCCAGCCTTAAATGCTCTCCCTTCTTTCCCTTGCTACCTTCTCTTGCTACACCTTGCAGTGTGCTCTGATGTTTCTCCTTGAATCCCCAATTGCCCTTTGAATGGCTACCCCAGGACAGTTTTGGAACACAATCACAAAAACATCCATGCTGCACCACAGGAGAGTATGGTCACGTTAAACTGGGGAGAGGACAATGACTCCCATAAGGGTTTGTGACCCGAGGACTTCTGAGCTGAAGTTTGAAGAAGCTGAGACCGGTTTTGGTTCCAGGATGTGTTGGCACACACAACAAGAAACATCTTGGACTTCGAGAGCAGGTTAACCTATTCCTGTAGAAAAGCCCACACGCTTCTGTTTGTGCCATATGTGCAATGGAGATGGTTCCCAAAGGCTGACAAGTCATGCAGATTTGTAAACTGCTACAAATTATGAGTGTCAGTATGTCACCAGAGATGATAATTAAATAGATATGTTTACAGATTTCTAAATGCTGTGAAGTAAACTGAGAACAAAAGGAAAATCACACAGGGTCATTAATTTCAAGAACTTTATCCAAAAACACAATTTCTACCTGTTGTTAACAAAACTTGTCATTTTCACCATAGTAAAAGAATGAACCCAGTATTAAGTACATACATAGTGAAAACAGTCTATAATTTGAAAAGAATATAACAGGAGCTTAAAAGAATGCATTTCTGCTAACTAAACTTGCTAAATACAATGAACTTAGACAGCATTATTTATTTTCCTCTTCACAGCTAGAGATCAACATTTCAAGAACAATCATTACAACAGTAAACGATTTTTTTATAAACCAATCCCTATACTATAAAAACAATACAGAGAAGCCCTGCAATCCTGTTTGTTAGTGTACAAGAGGGATTAGCAGAGAGGAAGAAAAAGAGAATTAAATTCTTGGAGACAATTAATAAAAATAACAGCATATACTGAAGAACTCCTGTAAGCCTGTGTTTTACATGAGATGAAGGAAGATGTCACTTCCAAATGACTGTGATTACGAGTGAAGCATAGATACTTCCAGAAGTGTCACTATTTAGTTTGCATTTTGGAAAAAGACTATTTTAGGCAATATTGGAGACAATGAGATAACTGAAAAATAAATATTACAGGCTACCTCAGAAAGCAAGCAACTGCATTTATTTACATTAGTTAAAAATTTCATTTGCAGCCCACTTCTTCCAAACTTGATAACTCCAGAACTGAAAGAGGTCTTCATTAGAGAAAGAACAAAGATTTCTGAGGTAACGTGCTCAGACGATAGAAAAAATAGTGCAACAATTTGCTACATTATATATACCCTACCAGCAAATCTATCAAAATATTCAGAGTTGTTTTTATTACCTTCTTATTTAAAAAAATACAGTGTGCTGGTTTCTTTCTTCCTTTTGATTAGAAAAGCATGAACATCCCTAGAAGTATTTAAAATAAAAACCCAGCGACCCAGAGGTAGTCCTGCAAGCTGATCTACCAAAGCAAACTTTACAAATACAGAGGTGTTATTAATCCAGTTGACTCCAGGTGGAAGCAAAGGTCCCTCTGGATAGAGCAGCTTGCATGACAGGGAACGTAAAGCATCCTTGTGAAGGTCACAACTCGATAGAATTTTAGACCTAGACCTGTAATAATTTATCATCTTATTCACTCATTACTGGGACTGAATTCCACAGGATACGCAAACGTAGCCTTAAAGACTGCAGCTCAGGAAGCTCCTGTGACAATACCAGAATAAGCACAGACTTCTGAGGAAGGTTTTTCCAGCACATCTCAGTTCTGTCCAAGGCCTCAGAGTCAATCTGCTTTTGCTCAAAATGAGATTTAGAAATGATTGTGTGTTATCACGCTATGGCAGCTTGGCTGTGCAGCTGAGAAAACAGGTATGACTGGATTTCAAATACCCATGGCTTAGCAGACTGCAAAAAGTCTTTTTTTTTAAATGGTGGTTGTTTTTCTTGACTGATTAGGCTAGAGTTTTATGACCTTCACCCTATTACAAACCACATGGAGGGACTAAGCTTTTTCATTTGCTTGTATGTGGAACAACTTAGAATTCACTTTCACTCGCCTCTTCCCTGCCCCAAGTATATTACCACTGATCCTGACTTGCTAAGAATAACAAGAGGCTTGGGAGTGGAAAGAGCAGTAAATGTTGACTACTGATTGGTGCAGTTGTTTACTTATAAAATCCGAATTTCTGCATGGCAGCACTGGGTTCTGTGGCAATTGATAATATAGCTACCAAGCTTAATGGCCAAATACCTTGCAGTTTGCTAAGGCAGCTAATGATTTTTACCTCCAGGAAGAGACTTCATTTCACTGATCTTTGTCTGGTATCACTGTGAAGGCCAACAGAGATGGTTACAAAGGGCAGAAGAATGTTTCTGGCTTCCAAATACTTGCATGGTCTGATGCCAGGGAATTAAAAGACTACAGAGAAGACCAGGGGAGAAATAAAACAAAGGCATAAACACATGTTTTGGTGGCAAGGAGTTCTAAAGGGATGCGAATTCACATCAAGGTACTTTGGGAGGAAAGAGGAATGATGCAGTCTAAAGGATTGTGTCCTGACCTTTGAGAAAGTCCTGAAAAGTGACCTGTCTCTGGTTTCCCCCTTTTGTTAAGTGTGGGTAATACTATGGTCCCCTTTGAGATCTACTGCCGTACAGCTGTAGAAGAGAATAAGGTCATGCCACTATACAAATGATACTTGATTTGTTAATATTGCATGCGTAAGCAACCTAGGTGTTTTTTTGCTTTTTTTCAGGGAGACTAAGTAGAGTTTTAGAAGGCCAACCCTTGGTATTCCACCAAAACGGGAGGCTTTTTGATTCTACACCTGAAAAAAATTCTTCACTAGTAGCCTGCATAGCCAAAAGAGCCTGCATAATGCTCCCAAGACTTCCCAAAAAGAAAATACCAGTTGTGTTCATATGAAAGGACGTTTGCCTTGGTACCAACAGAACAGGCCTACTTATTACCCTTGCTTAAGCCTGGCTTTAGAGGATGAGTTTGCAAAACACTGAGATGATTAGACATGTGACGGGTTTGTATTACCAGTTTTTCTTCTGTTTCCTGCCTGTGTTGCAGTTGTTCCCAAAACAGGTTACTGCAAAAGTGGAATCTAGAAAGAAGTATGAAAGAGGGACAAAAAAACCCAACTGGGTAAAAGGTACCAAGGCATTCAGCGGTTTGGTGGATTTCTTTGTGGTTTTCTTCCATCAAATAAACCTGTAGAAAGTAAGATTGCTTTAATTCAGTTTGGCCTTTTGCACTATATAGCCCAAGGGTTGTTTTCAGTTTTACTAGTTAGATGGCTGATCTGTCATATAAGCCTGTAAAGTTTGCATTGGCTTCACTTTGGCCAGATGACACGGACACAATTATCTAAAATTATTTTTCTATCTGTGCAGGTATGACCAGGTTATCCTGGTGTAAACAGCCTGGTACGGGCCAGAATGACGTAAAATTGCCATGCATTCTGCTAAGATGTGTATTCCCCTGGAGATTTCTGGCCAGACACTTGGACTCTTCCCTTCTACTTTGTGCCTGAAGCACCAAAAAGGAAAATGGCAGATGGTTGGTCCCTGCCTGTTGCAAGTTCTTCACATATCCACAGCAGAGTTTAGTGGCAACTTCACTTTCTCTGTCTTCAGTTGGAAGGAAAAGAGGTAAGGCAAAGAGGGGCTGTATAAGGAAACACAAAAAGTTCGTGTCCGATAAAGGACAGTGGGAGCTTTTAAAATGATGGACTTAGGATGTTTTGATTTCTTTAGGATGTTCTCAGGTCAGAGGCAAAGGGCCATCCGCATATTAAACTGTCCCTAGCTTTCTCTTACGATGACTGGCTGATAAAAAATACACCTAACAGACTATTAATCTCTGGCTCTTTTTCTGCTGATGGAATAAACACACTTGTTTTTCTGAGGATTAGCAAGCTGTACGATGAGGAAGGACACGTTGTACCTGATAGTTTGTTCCCTTAAACTCAGCTCAGACTGTGGGGTCAGCAAGGGCTCACCAGGGCAGAACAGGAGTTAATGAAGCACTAAGCTCTGCTTGTCAGAACCCTGATGTCTGACATTATCATCAGAGACCCGGCTGCCCTTCCTCTCGGTGAGAATTAACCAGATGAAATCCCATTCTTCAGACTTCTAAAAGCATATAAGCATTCTGATCTGGCATTTTGATTTTTGGCCTGTTTCTCTTAATAACAGAAATCATCCTTAAAAAGAAAAATTTTCCAGATTCTGCTCTGTGATTAGCCACAGGAAACCCAGCAAAAGTACATGATAGAAAAGGGCACAGCTATGTGAAATTAATAACTCTGAGCAGCCTGCAGAGAAATGAGAAAAGGCTATTAAGAACCAGAATAGTAAAAAGAAAGCTTCTAATAATAGACAAAATACATCATAATAACCTGTCCTGTAGACTAAAGATTCCTGATCTGGCTTAGTCCCAGACACAAAGGAGAACTTGCCTTTTAACTGAAATGGATGTATGGGATAAGACTATAATACCTATCTGGCTCTATTCCCTCTTCATTTGGGACGCGTTGTAACAGACTGCTCAGCAGTTTGGTGGGATGCTGACTGCCCTCAGGTCCCACTGCAAACAACGATTTTGGAGAGGGAGGGCTTATTATTTCTGAGGTCAGCTCACTTTCCCAGTTAAATGGCTAAACATATTACTTATAGCAGATGAGTCTCTCTGCTGCTATTGTTTCATCAGTTTCAAAATCTATTGTTCAGTTTTGCAAACACGTTGGCATGGAAATACATCCTCATTTTATTTTAAGAGATTAATGACGGTGATAAAGGCAGACTCCTAGCCCTGGAGACAAAACATAACAGGAGTGGCTGTGTGGTTTTCCCTGTTTGGCTCTCCTATCTAATGTTCCTTTGCAGCTACCTCCGTAACTATTCAGCTTCTTTTCTGTGATGGCCACACACCTGCCTAGTCTAGCTGCTGGCTGCTTAGAGCAAAAGAATTCTTAGGAGACAGTTTGATTTTTTTTTTTTTTGATATGTTGTCATAGATCCCATAGAGGCCATGGGAAAGAAACGTGAGGGCATCCAGTTCGTCTCCCTGCTTCTCACAACTCATTAATAACTTTGCAGAGCCCAGGCAGTATTTTGTCTTGTGTTTGTAAGATGATGTTTACAGCATATTAGGGGTCTAATACCGCACACAAAGTATTTGCTTTATCCGTTACTGAACAAATTCAGCTCAGTATTGTGTAACAGTTATCTGTGGTAGGTGGTTTTATTTACAGATCTTCATCTACAAGTGGAATCCTGTTCTTGATGCTAATGCATAAAATGCTTTGCAAAGTACAGAAACCTCTTCTGCTTTAGCAAAATAGCTTCAGAGAAAAGCTCTGGGGAATGTGCTTGGGCCTCCTCATCACCCCTCAGTGAGTAACAGCGGTTTTCCAACTGCCTGGTTCTGAGGAAAAGTTCAGGGCATAACATTTACCTGCATAAAGAAGTGGTAGCACATTTCACAGGACCATGCCCGTGAAACTTCTGCCTTTCATTTCATTCTCCACACACCTCTGTTGCTTTTATGAACTTTCTTAATGATGGATGGGTCTCATTTGCAATGACTGAATTTAAACTTTTCCGTACCTCCCAAAAGATAGAAGTGTTCATAGTGCATCAAGCCAGAACATAACATCCAGAAATAAGGCCATATCTGAACTGTACAGCCTACCGCTAAGCATGTTATCAGGATCAAAGATGATCAGAGTTTGAACCAGCTTTGTCTACTGCAGTTTAGGGACACAGAATCTCATCTTTAATATGAGATTTAACCTGACAATACTCTGCATAGACTCTTGCATGTAATAATATGCTCGCATCCTAAAAATATTAACAGGAAAAACAGCATAATTAGCGCCTTCAACTGTGAGATAGCTAATGCTTGTGCTTGCTGCCTGCACCCTGTTTTCCACGTCACCCTGTCAAACCAATTACTTTAATTAAAGTTCTATCTGGCCCTTCTTGACAACTCAACCTCTAATGGTGAAAATATGTAGGAGGATTATCTGGATGAGGGAGGCAGAGCTTGTTGCTCTCCAGCAGTCCTGCAACTACTATCAATTTCACACGAAAGTAGGGCACTATCCTTGGGAAAAGCAACATGAACATGTCACTCTCATTTTCATTAGCAGAAGGGAGGTTCTTTGCTGTTCCCTCAAACACTCTTCTTCACGGGTAAAGAATTTGGTCCAGTGCTTTGGGAAAGAAATGCAAACATTGCTAAGTGCACTTAGATTAATATTCTAGGTAATTTAAAGAAAGCACTCCACTGGCAAATTCAATAAGCAGGAGAATAATCCTATTGGGTAATTACCATATTGTCAAACCGGTTTTAGTCATGGTGAAAATGTTTCGGTGGTCTCCATCAAAAACAGTGCTTGCAAGATCTGCCAGAATGAGACAGCCTATTGAAACACTGAGGAAAAGTCCATGACTAATTGAAATAATTACAAGGGCAATGGCATATCTGAAAATCTGATATTCACATGGTCCTACATGCTTGCACACCAGACCATGTCCTACTCAATTCTGTGCTAGAAGCTTGTCTACAGCCTTCCAACCTCTCACATGATTGGACACTTAACAGTTTCTTTTCCGCTCAGAGAAGATAAGGAGGAATGTAAGAACAGGAGAGGTACACAGCTTATACAGCTTCCCTGTTCTTTAATAACCTCTACTTATTAAGGAGAAAACAGATATTTTAGGGTAGTGAAAATTATCATTTTTATAACATTCTTTAGACTATAGCTATTTTATCAGACAGGATTTGCTTTCTGTGCTGCTGATCTTCCAGAACTGTGCTTCTCAAACTTTTCTCCAGTGCAGACCTCTTCTGGCCTCAGCTATCATCACAAAATCATGCCTCCAAATAGGCAAATAACCAAATGCACAGGAGCTCTGTACCTCTAGTGAGCTGTCTTTTTTTTTTTTTTTTAAATCCTCTGAAAAACTTACTTGATCCTCTCCCTCCTGCTAGCTCTGTTTGCATCCTGTTCCATGATCCCCATCCAGTGGAGGAGTGCACAATCGCAATTACACAGCCTACTCTGGAATGTCACTGTGACTTTTTGGAAAAGATAGATAGCCACACCACATACTGTGGAAGTGGGTGTGCAGGAGAGAAGGAGCCTTGGGAGACCTCCCACACAGTTTCAAGGATCTCTTCAACTGATTGACAGTAAATCACTACCAAAGAATCAGGACAGCTTTAAGGCCAGCTCACAGAAAGGGGAAAAAAACATACACAGTGAATATACATAGTGAAATAAATATTGATTTAGGGCATTCAGCTTTAATTCAAGTAACTACCCACCAGCCCTGCAGGAAAATTGCCTTAAAAGGAAAAAAAGAGGAAAACCCAAACTTCTCTATACATTTGGCAGCTCTCAGTTCAGCCTCAAGCTCAGTGGCAGGCAAGTGTCAAAAATAGTCTCTGTGCCTGCAGACAAGGCATTCTGGAATGAGGAAAGTAGCTGTATAAGACAGGAGACCTGTTCAATACATACAGACTCAGAGAAAGAACTTATCTGCTACTCTCTCAAAGTTCAGATAATTTATGTATTTCTTCTTTTTTTTTTTTCTAAAGGGAAAGAGGGAGATTTCCCACAGAGGTGATTTTTTTCTTCCCTTAAGATTTTATAATCTCTGAAGCAAGAAAGGCAAGAGCCTGTTTTGGAAATACAGCTCTTGAAAAGGAAACTGCTTATGGGAATAATTAATACAATGAAAACATTGTCCCTCAATAGAACAAACCCAAATGACTAATTGGAGCTGTTACCAGAAGCAGGCTAAAGAAAAATCAATTCCAGGAGCCTCATCAGAACCCAAAGACATATTAGCATTTAAGTATAAGCATTTGCAAATCTGTCAATTATCATACTCTAATGCTATTTATACCTCAGTGGGTACCTCAGCCTTGTACTCACTTCCTCATGACAGTAGAAGTGTCTAATTTTCCTTTCAGTTGTATTCTTCTCATAGATACCACCTGCAGTTAATTAGGCTTCATAATTTCCCCACCTTCCTTTGATTCACCAGTATGATTAGGGAAGTATATGGCTTCTGTGGAGAAGCTACATTACAACATAATAAGCTGAAAAGCATAGTATTTGGCCTTTATTTCCTGGAAGGGACACATCTAAGGACCACTGTCGTCACTGCAATCCAGTACCTCTTGACAGAACTGGGAGCTTGTGCTGCTCTGTTTAACACTTCATCTTCTAGAGTGTCAACTGCCTGCAGTCATACCTTGTAATAGCTGTTCCTCCTCCTGGAAACAGCAGACAGGTTTAGCATCAATTCATATCTAGTAAGTGATAGTAGAAGGCGAGTGTTAGATAGCATATATCTGCCTGCCATAGGTTTAAGACTCACGACTTTGAACACAGCCAAGTACATGTGTGTGCTCTAGATTCACACATGATGAACTTGTACTCCATCAGAACTGAGCCAATGTCTACCATTACTCCATCTGGAAAACTAAGATGTTCAGCAAAAAAAAAAGATAGAGAACGCTTTCATATAGTATTATACCACTCAAAAGCACAGTAAAAAAAGCACAAAAAGCTGACAAAACCCAGAAGACCTGCTAGAAAAATCTAAACAGTAGAAAATAAGCACTTTCTGTAAAAATCTCACTTTATTTTTTGTATTTACCATACCCACGCTAGCCTCTCTTTCCTTACATTTCTATATAAAATACAGATTGGCTCTATTCATGATTAAAGCTCTCACCTCGCTACAATTTTCAATTGCAATCAAGCTTTCTGCCATCAAGATTCAAGGTGATTAATTTGCATTTCATTTCCATGACTGTGGCACCACTTAATCAATCAAGTCCCTACCTATATGTATTTTTATAGATATACATGTATATATACACACATACATACATACACATGACAAATACTGTTGCAGTTATCTCTCCTCCAGTGGTCAAAGCGTCAGTCATCCTAGAAGGTGAAGGCATACACCACTCCCACAACCACAATATTTCCAATTGTTGCAATTATTGCAATCCATAATAGTATGGCATCATTTGAAGAACGGGACGCCTCTTCTGGCGGATTCGGCATGGAAGAAGCTGCATGGACATTGGCGGATGAGTTAAACAAGGAGTACTCTGTACTAAAGTCCTCGTTGGGTGAGTCCATAAAGGCTCCTCCCATAACAGGAAGCTGTGAAGAAACATATGGCAAAATTAGACTGAAGGCTGATGTCTGTATTTACTTTATATTAAAGTCATTATAAAAAAGTAACCATTAGCCAACCTGCAAAATTATTATTTCACGTACATGGCGCTAAGCTGCCAGGAATCTCTCACACATGCACACACACGCCTCTATTTTACATTATTTCTTCCATAACCTTCATGAGTCTTCTGCATTCAAATGTCTCTATTTCCATTTTTGTTAGAATCAATATGATTACAAGAAACTAATAATATTATACGTAATTTACATAGGAGCTAGCACGCAGATGCTAAATCAACCTAAATAAGTATATGGATTTAAAAAGATCAGCTACAGTTATCCACAAAGCACTCCTAAACAAAAGGTAGGTTTATAGCACCGCATCTGTTTCGCGACTAATGATTACCAGCAATGAGATCATGCTGCACAGAGGAATCAAGCAAACAGAACGACAAAGTGATGCAGAGAATTCAGTCTCCCTTTATGTATAGCTCAAAAGCAAACCCTTGATTTATACAGAGATCATTGCAAAAGTTGTGACTGTAAAAGAGGTGGAGCATATGCAGCCCTCTGACTTCACTTGCAAAACACTTCACTTGCAAACTCCTTGCAAAGATGCAGGAGTCAGAAAATCTATACAGCAGAAAACTTCAGATTGGATTATGAAAAGCAAGACTCTCAGCAAGGCACACTTCACAGCAATGAAATGGCAGATTTCCAACGCTTTTCCCACCTCAGACTTCTTTTGGGAAGTATAAAGTTTCTTTGTTGTGCTTAGCAGACTTGTCAGCAGTACCAGAAGTTCTCAGTAAGATGGGAGTTATTCAGTATGAGGCTATGGAAATGTTAAAGTAAAAAGGAATCATTTACTCTTGTTCTCATACAGGTTTCAGTCGTCTTCCCAACCTCATCTCAGATCCCAATGCAAATTCTTCATGATTCAGCAACTGCTTTACCCATATATACGGAAGTGTAAAGCCACATCCTCCTACAAACATATGGACTCTTTGTTCAGGCAAGAAAAGGATGCCTACTGCAGGGCTGGGACTGACTACTAAGAAAAGGCTCACACAAAAGCTTTTTGCTTTCACCTTTCTTCCTTGTACTTTTAGGAAGGCAGGTCTGGGAGAGTCTCCCCTAGCTCACTGAGTCCAGACTGCACAGCCACATGCAGCTAGAGGACATACTGTTTCAGCAAGAGCTGCAGAACATCTGCTTCACTTATCTGTAGATTCGCAGGACATACATACACTTCTGAATATCCTGTAAAAAGCCTAAGATCTGCTGAGCAACCTCAGAAACCACAACTGTTATGTATGCAGGAAGAGCAGGAGCAGTGAGGGGTAGCCTAAAGCCCCAGGCCTCTGCAGTACTCAGTAACTAAAAACCCCAGAGCATTGTAGCAGGTAGACCAAACCAATGTCAGAATCGGGGCAAAAAAACAGAGCCATGGGTCCAAATATCTCTGCCAGCCTGACCTGAAGGGAAAAACTCCATAATGACTTTGATGACTGGTTTGATCTTGAGCAATGATAAAACCTAGACATCACTGCAACCTACCCATATCCTGCTTTTCGATCTGGTCAAACACCAGTGCTTCAAGGAAAGCTAAAAAAATATGATTCTTATAGGCAAATCACGTGTGAGAAACTGGACACATCTTCCAACCTCAGCTTTGGATCGATAGCTTCATGAGAAGAACCCACCTGAAAGTTTTTTCCTTTCACAGCAATGTCCAAGCATTTGGGCAGTGTGAAATAATATTTGCATACATCACACCATCAAAAGTACCTTGCATTTGGCAATAAAAAGCTTTATGCACCAGTTAGTCTTCAACGTATACCTGGGAAAAATACCATGCTCCTGACTCACTTGATGGGACAGACAGAGTGAAACTACAATGGTAAAGAACGTTACTAAGGTCTGGGTGGATTACACTGCATTGTATGCATGACCAAGCTCATTAATTACTGAAGCTCATTAATAAATTTGTAGGCCTGGCCTGCGGTCATTCTGAGAACAAGGGAAATCCTGTACGTATTCTGAGCCTATCAAAAATGGATTCAACAGTTGCTTCAAGTTAAGCATAGACCTGGGTACCCATAGGACTGAATGGTTTGGGGATGAGGGAAAGGAAGAGCTAAGTTTTTCTATCAATGAAAAGAAGCAATGGAATATTTTAGGGGATTAGCAGCCTATACATTGGAAGCTTTCTGAGAAGAGGGGCAGTTTGTTATGTGTTACCTTGCTAATAACAAATGGACTAACTAAGAAAGGTGTCTGCATAGGGGAAACCTATGGGACCACTGAGACAGCTTTCCACACTGACACTGAAGGTCAGTGGCAGAGCTGGGAATAGCCTCCGAGTTTCCTGACTCTTCCTCCTGAGCTTTGATTAAATTTAGATTAAATACAAATCTTAATGTGTGTTGTGGGTTTACTGATGTTTAAACAGTGAGGTTGGGAATGGCTGTAAAGAGGCAGAGGAACAGAGCAGTAGTCTTGCAGGCTGCAGCAGTCCATGTGGTTGGATCTCCAGAGCCTCATTCTGTTTTGCAGCACATCCAGCTTGTGCCCTTGCCCTTTACCATCTTTTCTCAATCACTATGGTACACAGCAGCCATCACTTGCTCAAGCAAATAACCGGAACGTCATCTTCAACTTGACAGACAATTTCTACATGCAAAGTCTTCAGGGTTCTAGAAGACACCTCTGCGAGGCCCCCTTGCTAACGCTTACCCACCTATATACTGAAAAATCTTGTTCAGACTCTCATGATCATCTTTTCCAGTAATGAGGGCACAACCCTGCTTTTGGTCCTAACATTTGCAGGTCTGTCCTACCCGTATCCAACTGGAAGACTCTAGCAAAGATCACCTCTGACCAGATCAACTGTCTCTGTTTCACATACTGCAACTCCTTTCCTTTTCACTGGCATCAGAACGTGACCCTGCTTTCACATTCACGACCCTTTCTCACCCCAGTCACCCATCCATCACATCACACTCACAATATCACCTCCTACTTCCATGTGGCTTATATGAACCCAACACATTCCCTTATCCACCTGTTAAATTTCAGACAAGCACTTTCATGCCTTATCCCATGTTTCCCACACATCTGCAAAGCCACTTAACTTTTCCCTTCAAAATTGCTACCAAAATCTACTGCTTTGATAGCTTGCTGGATAGACCTGTCTATTTTGTTGTTCTCCTTAAAAAACATTCTTGCTGTAACATCAACCAACGTCTCCACACGCCATGGTTTCCATGCTGCTGCTGTCACCTTACAACCCATAGGCCACATTATAGTCTCACTACTTGTAAATAATTTTGGACTTTAAGTATTATTATTCTTTCCGCAACACCTTTCTCAATAAGGCTCTCATCTACAGCTGAACGCCTCAGGCTCGGTAATGGCAAAATAAAAGCCCTTCCTGCTGTAGTACCAGCAGTAGTACTAGTACTACTAGCAGTAGCACAATACTGTTGAAGTTACCATGGCCTATGAACAAAAAAGGAACCAACCTTGACTTCCTGTAGCCACACAGAAGGCTGCCTTCAGCATTAAATGCCATTGGCATTAAATTACCATGCCTAATAACAATTCAGATGGAAAGTCAGTCTCTTTCAACACCCTGTCCTTCAACTCCTGCAACTCACTTTGATTTTCCCAATAACCCTTCCCTTTGGTACCAGACTGCACCCCGCCTGGTAGCGAGGAGCTGTGCTATGACGGCAGCTAAGCAGGACAGGATCAGAGGATAACCCACTTCTACTCTCTACAGTGGTGGCTGTAACCTACAAATGAAAGAGAAGCATTTGAGAACCTTAAGGATCAGGTGGCTTTTATTTGCTTGCTATTCATAACATTTTAGAGAGCTATAAAAGACGTTTGCTCTTTCAAAGCTGACTGCTGAACAGATTTAATTTGTACTACAAAATATCACGTCACATTCAAACTGAAAAAGAGAATGATGAAGTACCATGATGGATATGCCGTATCACCTAATCCACCTTAAATAAAATTATCCTTAAGATCAAATATGATCAGGCAAAAGCAGTTTGCAAGAAACCAAACAGGAAATTACAATAGTCAGGTTTGATACATTCCCCCTATGGCAAACATTTTTACTTCCAGTTTCAACATCGAGTTGACCTGCTGGAAAGCAGCTCTGCAGAGAAGGACCTGGGAGTCCTGGTGGACAACAAGTTAACCATGAGCCAGCAATGTGCCCTTGTGGCCAAGAAGGCCAATGGTCTCCTGGGGTGCATTAGGCAGAGTGTTGCCAACAGGTCGAGGGAGGTGATCCTGCCCCTCTACTCAGCCCCTGGGGAGGCCTCACCTGGAGTCCTGGGTCCGATTCTGGGCTCCCCAGTTCAAGAGAGACATGGCACTGCTGGAGAGAGTCCAGCGGAGGGCTACAAAGATGATGAGGGGACTGCAGCATCTCTCCTCTGAAGAAAGGCTGCGAGAGCTTGGCCTATTCAGCCTGGAGAAGAGAAGACTGAGGGAGGATCTCATCAATGTAGGCAAGTATCTGAAGGGAGGGTGTTGAGAGGATGGGGCAAGACTCTTCTCCGTGGAGCCAAGCGACAGAACAAGAGGCAACGGGCACAAACTGAAACACAGGAAGTTCCATCTGAACACGAGGAGAAACTTCTTTACTGTGAGGGTGACTGAGCACTGGATCAGGTAGTGGAGTCTCCTTTGCTGGAGATATTCAAAACCTGCCTGGACGCGATCCTGGGAAATATGCTCTGGAGGACCCTGCTTGAGCAGGGGGGTTGGACTAGATGATCTCCAGAGGCCCCTTCCAACCTCAACCATTCTGTGATTCTGTGATTGTGTGAGTGTTTTAAAGAGAACAAAAGCATCCACTTCACAACAAGCCCAGCTTGATTACGTTTGGAATCCAACCCCACCAGCCTTTATTATGTCTTGGGATTATGTAAGGAAAACATTGGTCAGTTGGATCTGTATTTCTTTTTCTTTAGAATTATCTTGAAATAAGACAATTCTGATTTCAAACACTTGTGACAAGTGTATTTATGCAGCAGTGTTTTCATTTAACAGCTATGGAGATACTAGACATCTCTGTAGCAAATGATGAACTGCCCATACTGGCAGCAAAATGCTCAATCTGAGGTGCTTGCCTCTTTAGCAAACCATTTTAAGGGAACCAGCACTTAGGTTTAGACCAATTGAGCCCTTAACTGGAACAAACATCATGGAGGCAATCAAAACGTGAATGCTCGCAACATATGTAGAAGTCCATGTATATTTAATTAGAAAGACATATGTGTGCATGCTCAAGATGGTGGGAGGTCATGAAAATTGTTCTGATGAGTGATATCTGGTTTGTGGGTCATAAATTCTCTACCCTGAGTTATTTGAGCTGACAAGCTTCCACACTGTTAGCCCAC